ACCTTAGAACTGAAGAAGCTTCTCGGATGAGAGGTGAAACGTCTTCAAGTAACTTAAAGAAGTCCAGACGCTTTTCTTTGCAAGCTCCTTTGACTAAAGTCATAAGGCTTCCAGCTTTGTAGCCCTCAATTTCTCATATCTGCTTTTTGCAGAGAATGTGGTTCTGCAGGCTTCATGAGGGGTTCACAGCTAAGTGTGAATGACAATCAGCACCTCCACATCTGAGAACATGGTCCTCAGTAGGAAAAGGCCAGACTGCCCACTCCGGGTCAGGGACGAGTCACTGCCCGGGAGTGGAGGAGTTCAAGTATCTCTGGGTCTTGTTCACAAGTGAAGAAAGTGGGAGCCTGACAAACAGTTTTGGTGCCACAGCAACAGCAATGCAGACGTTGCACCCGTTTGGCACGAGACGGCCGCTCATAGAAGCAAAGCTGTTGATTTACTGATCGATGCATGCCCCTACTCTCAATGTGATAAAGGAGCTCCGCATGATTCACAGTTCAAATAATTGTTTCGTACTGGGCCTTAGTGTGGTCACCCAATTAATCTAATGTCTGAAAGAAGTTGTTTCCATTGCTCTCAAGGACACGCTTACCTTTCTGAGTGGCTGGCCCTTGAAAAGCTCAAAACAGCAGTCAGGTGGGACTGCTGTGCAGATCTATCCTCAGTTACCTATCCAAATTCGCTATCAAAAGGCCTTTACACACCAGATGTGTAATATTTGTGTGAATATTTCTTGTTAAAAATTTATTTGGGCCTCACCTATTTTCTTTCTTGCAGCCATTCACACAGAACAATGTTTTGACATTTATCTTTTTTTTTTGGACACGAATAAACAGCTTTAACCTAATCAGACCACTGCACTTGGCAACAAATGCGCTCATCGTGTTGAATACACAATTCGGAAATAATTCTATTTTAACTCAGACACACAGCTAGACGCGATTCGGGGTCAATCGGCTCACTGAACCTATTTGTTTGCCTCCTCAGATGAAAATCTCATGGTTGATGGTTGCTTCTGGTGAGAACTAGACATAGCCAGAATCTCTTTCTTCCTTTTCTGGTTCAGAAACATCAGGACCAGCTCATCGTCACTTGATGTCAACTTCATGTATTTCACAGTTTCTTTTTTGAAAACTAAATTTTCACAAAACCAAAACACATTCAGTACATCTCTATGTTACAGGGCAGGGTCTCATTCGGAAATTTTTTTTGCAACATACGCGGTAGATAACTCAGATGACTCAGAAAGCTTTGGCAATTTCTTAAAACCCTCTACCCTTGCCATTCATTTATGAAGTCAAATATCTTAACAGTCAATACAGAAGCAACATCCAGAGTCAGGGGCGATTCTAGGATCAGGGCTTTGGGGGTGCTGAGCACCAGGAGAGCTGCCCAGCCAAGCAAGATAAACTTTACTTGTCACAATGAGACTTCTTCCCTGTCTCTGTAAGTCCCTGTATCCCTAAATGTCTCCAGTTGTCCCGAGTTCTCTCTGATTGTCTCCTTGGTGCATTTAAACCCCTGTTCCTCCCTGTCCTCATCGACTGTTGTCTTCGTCTTTGTTATCAGTCATCATAATTTTACCATCTCTGTGCAAGTCTGCAAACTTCTTTATTAAATAATAAGATTCTTAAATTCATCAAGTCTCAAAACATGAGATCACTGTTTTGTACATTTTAACACAATTTAATAAGCATATGCTTCAGCCAATACCTTTTCATTAGCCTTGTCTTGGTTTCTTGCTTTGTGGTAGATCTTTATTCTGTTTTCACTGAGATATTTGAATGCTAATCAATAAATCAATATTCAATGGGGCGATCGTGGCTCAAGAGTTGGGAGTTCGCCTTGTAATCGGAAGGTTGCCGGTTCGAGCCCCGGCTTGGACAGTCTCGGTCGTTGTG